GACTTTCACGTAAGTCAGGCAAGTTGGTGGAGGCCCGGACACGGCGACGAGAGCTCCCGTTCGATATTAGTCCATAGGTATTCCGAGAGCCATTGGCCACAGAGGCCATCGAACTCAGGAATGGCGCTCTCGCTCGAGACTTTTTCGCTCTTGAGTCAGTGGCCGGCAAGGAAGAGATTCCTTCCGAAAGGGGGTACAATCGAAGACGAAGTGGGCGGGTATCGAGGGTTGGGGTATACGGTATACAGAAAGCGAGACACGAGAGCCAGGAAAAACGAACGGTCTTAAAATGCTTGTTGTCGTCGTCGTCGTCGTCGTCGTCGTCGTCGTTGTTGTTGTTGTTGTTGTTGTTGTTGTTGTTGTTGTTGTTGTTGCTGTTGTTGTTGTTGTCGTTGTTGTTGTTGCTGTTGTTGTTGTTGTTGTTGTTGTTGTTGTTGTTGTTGTTGTCGTCGTCGTCGTCGTCGTCGTCGTCGTCGTCGTCGTTGTTGTTACTGTTGTTGTTACTTGTTTTTTCTTTTTAAATCTCTCTCTCTCTCACTCTCCCTTATATAAGTATATACTTATACAGATGCACAAACCTATGTATACACATATTCGGAATCTGTGTTCGGGGGGTGCTTCTCTGCCCTCCCGCCCCCCGGGAGGCCCCAAGAGGCCCCGGGGGACGATTTCCTGCGTCGGGATAGTTCTTTGTGCGGGGGGCGCTCTTCGGGCCCCCCCGCCCCCAGGATGCCCCCAGGAGGCCCCAGGAGGCATTCTTCTGCATTGGGCTCCGTGTTCGAGGAGTGCTTCTCGGTCCCCCGTAGATTCTCCTTTTTAAAAAGAGAATGGACTCACTCCCCCCCCCCCTGCGTTATCGTCCCCCCTTTCGGGTATGTAAATCACATATGATTCTGACCACATGTCCATCCTAAATATGAAATCGCAATGTCCCAGGCCAACCGGTATCCCCCCCCTGAGGTTCCCTTGTAAAAAACACTATGCGGTGACATTTTTTGTTCTAACATAGCACTTTTTCACGAATCCCTTGCAAAACATGGGACGAAGTGCACACGCGCGCGTCGTCGCGCGCGCACGCCGAAATCCTTCAAAAACCTTCGGTGCCGGAAGGATTTCGCAATCGAGTTTCCCAAAAACATGCAAAAACACAAGGTTTCGTAACACTGACTTGCTAAAAAACGCTTACGCGCGAGCTCTTGCTAAAAAACGCTCACGGTTTTTCAAGATTTTCACAACATGCTACCAAACGGGCGTCGCGCGCGCATGTCGAAATCTGTCGAACGCCCTTGCGCGTGTGCCGTCGAGAGAATACTCTGCAAAAAGCGGGACGAAGTGCAGACGCGCGCGTTGTCGCGCGCGTACGCCGAAATCCTTCAAAACCCATCGGTTTCGGAAGGTGTCGCGCGCGGTGTCGCGCGTCCAAAAAACCTACAAAAACACAAGGTTTCGCAACACGGATTTTCAACAAAAGCGTGCGCGCGCGCTCTTGCGGCGTCGTCGTCGTCGTCGTCGTCGTCGCCGTCCTCCCTCCTCCCGCGTCGTCGTCGTCGTCGTCGCCTACGTCGTCCTGTGTCTTTCCTCGTGTTCGTCGTCGTCGTCCTCTTTGGCGTCGTGGTCGTTTCCGTCGTCGTTGTCGCCGTGGTCGTCCTTCCTCCTCCTCCCTCGTCGTCGTCGTCGTCGTCTGTCTTCGGCGTCTCGTCGTCGTCCCTCCTATTTCGTCGCTGTCGTCGTCGTCGTCGTCTTCGTCTCGTCGTCGTCTTCCCTCCTCCCTCGTCGTTGTCGTCGTCGGCGTCGCCGTCCTTCCTCCTTCTTCGTCGTTCGCGTCGTCGCCGTCCTCCCTCCTGCCTCGTTGTCGTCGTTGTCGTCGTTGTTGCTGTCGTCGTCCTCCCTCCTCCCTCGTCGTCGTCTTCGTTGGCGACGTCGTCGTCGTCTTCGTCGTCGTCGTCGGCGTCGTCGTCTTCGTCGTCGTCGTCGACGTCGGCGTCGTCGTCGTCGCCGCCGTCGTCGTCGTCGTCGTCGGCCGTCTTGCTTCTCCGGCCTTCTTGGGGCGCTCTTGAGACGCCCCCGAGGGCTCCAAGACGACCCCGGAGCGATATCAGTGCTCGGTCCCGCATGGGTTTTGTAAACCAAGTTGCGGGTGGGTGGGTGGGATGATTGCGCGAGCAGTGGAGTTGATAACTTCAAGTTCGGCAAGTGAGCTTCGCCCCCATAGGCTTCCCCGCCTCTCTCCCGGGGCTTGCGTCCTGTTGTGATCTTCTTACGTTCCTGTAGATTACCTTCTCCTAGGTCTCGAATCCTTTGTGTGTTTACGTATCTTCCTATAGAGGGCCCCTCGACCAGGGCTCGAATCTTTTGTGCTTGCGAATATTCTTATCAATTCCCTTCGACCAGGGCTCGAATCCTTAGTGTTTCACATATGTCCCCCAGGTTGCCCGTCTCCTGGGTCTCGAACCCTTCGTGTTTTGACTCCTCACCGCTCCCCATCGTCGCACTGCTTTTTGCATGTGTCGTGCGAGCTGAAAGTGGGAATGTGCCTCGGGACAGGTGTTGGTGGCTCGACGTCCTTGGGTGGGAGATCTGGGTGTGGGAATATCGGCCCCCCTTTCCGTATAGTTCCCCCAAGTGGAGGTGGCGTCATGATGGATGCCTGTGGCATGTTGACGCACGGCGCATGAGGGTACATTGATTGCCGTTGTTGATTTCTCATTTCCAACGATAATGATTGTTATTCCCCTTGCCCGGTGTCAATTGAGTCTTTTAGATCTCAGTGCCCTTATGAGGCACGCACCCTGTTTTTTTATAAGGGTAAATCTTGCGCATCAGAATGCTTGGTTTCCCCCCCAAACTGCCACAGCAATGACTCCCGCCTCGTGCTTCCATACAGTTCATTTAAACATCGCGCTATCGCGCAGGACTTCCTCACAATTTGTGCATGAATCGCGCTCTCGTGTGGGAATTCCTCGCAACTTCTTGCGGCGCCGCGCCCCCAACACTCAGTAATCACGCTCTCGCTTTTGTCTGTCTCGCGGTTTATGCGGGAATCTCGCAATCGCTCGAGATGTCCTCGCGATTCATGCAGGACTGATGCTTCAGCGACCCGCCCGCTCAACCCCGCCGGTTCGGCCTGCCCCCCCGACCCGTCCGTTAGGGTCTGCCGATGCACGGTGACGATGATGGATGCATGATGGCGATGCAAATCAAGCGCCATCATCGGGACACCAATCGGGACACTACTGGGACACCACCGGGACACCATCGGGACATCACCGGGGTGCCAAGTGGGACGCCCATCGGGACACCACCCGAACACCATCGCGAGACACCGCTGGGACACCATCGGGACACCGCGGGACACCATCGGGACACCGCGGGACACCACGGGACACCTCGGAACATCACGGGACACTACGGGACACCACGGCGGGACACCCCCAGCACCCGCGTGCCACGCGGACGGGGGTGGGGCGGACTTCTGTCCTGGCGGCGCCCTGGCCCAGCAATGGAGGATTCGTTCCTCTCGCCCGCCCACGCAGCTTCGCCTCGCGCGCACGCGCAACACGAGCACGAAACCGAAACCGATTTCCCCGTGGGGGGTGGCTCGCCGTTCCACGTCGATCTCGTCCCCCAACCACCTCCGACGCCCAAAGGGGGCACGATCGAAGACGACGAGGGCGGGTATCGAGAACTTGGGGCATACATGTGACATGCTACGCAAGCAGATAAGAACGAACAGTCTTAAGCTGATGCTTGTTGTTCTTGATGGTGGCGCCGACGACGCCGATGATGATGATGATGATCATGATGCTGATGATGATGCTGATGATGGTGGTGGTTGATATGATGACGATGACGACGGCGATGATGAGGATGAGGATTGGGAGGATGATGATGAGGATGAGGATGAGGATGGTGAGGATGAGGATGGTGAGGATGAGGATGAGAAGGAGGATGAGGATGAGGATTCGGTGAGGAGGTGGAACAGACATCGCCAACGGTTCAAAGGAGCATGAGGTTGAGGAGGAGAAGGATGATGATGAGGATTAGATGGGGAGGTGGAGCAGATATCGCCAACGGTTCAGAGTGTTGTACAGCCGACAGCATTGGCGACAGAGCTGTGCGAACCGCGCGTGTATCGGGATGGTCGAAATGCGTGACGAAAGGAAAGGTGACGAGCACCGAACGCGGTTTCTGCCCATTCTGAGCAGGCCGTCGGTGTCGCCGCGGGCATTCTGCATTCGGTGCTCTGTGCAGACGTCGCCTGCACGTCGGCGGCCGCTGTTTGTTTTTGGCTAACATTCGCTGTGTAGCATTAAGTCGGTCGTCCCCTCCACAGAAGGAATACTAAACATAGTCAAACAATGGTCTGGGGACGACTTTTTCGATTAGTTTTGCGCATCTTTGGGATGTTTTTGAGCACTATTTATGATTTGTCCTCCAAGCTCCGCCCGTAGGAGGACATACCCGATCTAAGTTTAGCATCGTCCCACTTTTTCATTCCGTCCCACAATTTCGGTCGGGGAAACGTGCGACTCGAGTAAGCCAGAACTCGGTTTAGCCGACATTTTTTGACGAGCGCGCCCTGGATTTTGACGGTCCGGTTTTCGTATGATGTTTGTAGCGGGAGCTTCGCGTCAAATTTCGGATTCGGCCTCGCCATTTTTATGATGGCCCCCGTCAGGCCAACCCGAGTCCCCCGTACCCGAGTCTTACGTCTCCCCGATTCGGGCGTGCCAAGTGAAGCACGCTCTCATCACATCACCGAGCAGGGCAGAGCAGTGTGGAACGCACCAGAGCAGGATGCCATGGGAGGAATGGGATCGAGGATCGGGAGGGGAGGAGCAGCGCTTTTGCGGAGACTGTGGAGGATGCGACTGCGGAGGAGGAGGAGGAGCAGGAGAAGCAGGAGGAGAGGGAGGGAGAACGAGGAGGAGGAGGAGGCGGAGGAGGAGGATGAGGAGGAGAAAGAGGGAGGATTCTCACGTTGAGCAGCCTGCGCGCAGGAGCGTTGGTTTGAGGGCATGGTCAAACCAGGCGGCGCGGCCAGTCATGACAACATCGATTGCTCCCCCCTTCATGTGTTTTGACAAGCTGGGACCACCGCCCTGCTTCATGCCCTTCCTTCTCTACAGCTGCCTTTCTCCGCCACCGATCTGCCTCCCTTGACCCCAGGCTCGCTCGCTGCCCTCGCGCCCTCCTCCTCCTCCTCCTCCTCCTCCTCCTCCTCCTCCTCCTCCTCCTCCTCCTCCTCCTCCTCCCCTCCTCCTCCAGCTGGGCCCTCTGAGCGGGGGGCCGCGCCCCGAGGCCTCGGCCAGGACCAGATCGCAAGATGCTTCCTGGGGGCCAGGGGCCGGCTGCGTGCGGAGCCGCCAGGCTCGGAGGTGCAGAGTGGGGGGGGGGGGGGGGGGGGCGATGGCCCGTCGCGGCGTGGGGGCCACATGCGAACCCTATCCCTACCCCCCACGACTTCGGAGGGGGGTAGGGGTGGGGGTTCGCATGTGGCCCCCCGGCAGAGTCGGGGGGGGGGGGGATGGCCCGTCGCGGCGTGGGGTCCGGGCGCAGATCCAGGAGATCCGCGCGGACGTTGCCAGAGTTTCCTCTGCTCCAGCTTCTGCCCTCTTTTTTTTTTTTGTTTTTCCTCCGCGGCCCGCGGCTGCGCGGATCGGAGCGCACCTCTCGTGTCTCCCTGAGGGATCCTTGAGGGACTCCCAGAAAAGGATTCCTGAGCGCTTCCCGGAGAGAGCTCCTGATGATTCCTGAAAGGGGCTCCTGAGGGATTCCGAGAGAATTCCTGCGGATTCCCGAGGGAGTCCTGAAGGATTCCCGAAGAATGCCTGAGTGTTCCTCAGGGATTCCCGAGGGAGTCCCAAACAAATTCCTGAGGATTCCTGAGGGATCCCTGGGGGATTCCCACAGAACTCCTGAGGATTCCCGACAGGGATTCCTGACGGGAAGGCCTGAAGCATCCCCGAGGATTCCTGAGGGCTCCCCGAGGGGTGCCCCCCAGAGAACCCCTGAGGATTCCCGAGGGCTCCCCGATGATCCCTCAGGGACCGCCCCGTGGGAGAGCGGCTCCCCGCAGGCGCGGCGCGGGGCCCTCTGCGTGCGAGCGCCTCGGCGCCCCGGCGCGGCGCACCGGGCCCTCCTCGGAGGGAGGCGGCCCAGACCTGCCGCGCCCGCGCCCACGCCCACGCCCACGCCCACCACGCTCGCGCCCACGCCCGCGCCCACGCCCACGCCCGCGCCCGCGCCCGCGCTGGCGCCCACGCCCGCGATCGCGCCCGCGCCCGCGTCTGTGCCGGCGCCCGCGCCCACGCCCGTGCTCGCGCCCACGCTCGCGCCCACGCCCCCACGTCCACGCCCACGCCCACGTCTCAGAGGAGCAAGAGGTCATGATAATGATACGCTCCAAGATTTCCAAGGCTTCCAGGATCCCTCACAGTTCCGAGTGTTCCGCACCAGCTGCGCCGCTAGACACTCTGGAAATCCTGTATCCTGAGCAGATCTTTTCACGACATCATTCTCGCCCTAGTATCGACCCCTCTGGATTCGAATGCGACTCGATTTCGATCGACCCCGACCCCCATTCGATTCGACTTCGGGCTCCGACTTTGGCTTCGGGTTCGGGAATCGGTGCCTCGCTGGCCTGCCGGCCTCCGCCGATTCGGCTTCTCCCGGCTCGCCTGCCGACTTCCACCGCTGCGATCGCCTTTGTCGGGGGAGCGTAAGACCCGGGTTTGCCGGGACTCGGGTTCGCCATCGTTTTTTGACGATCGCGACTCGGATTTTGACGAGGAGGAGTTTTGTGGGATGTCTGCAGCGGGAGGCCTCGTCAAAATGCAGGCTCGGCCTCGTCATTTTTTTGACGACCTCGTCGGGGATTTCCGAGTCCCCCGTACCCGGGTCTTACGTCTCCCCGACTTTGGAGCGCCGCTCCGACCTGCCGATTCGGTGCTGGGCCTTCCTGCCGGCCCCAGACGGGCGAGGCTCGGCCGCTCGGCGGCTCCGCCGGCGTCCCCCTGAGGGCCGACGCTGCGAGCAAGAAGCGCAGCGTCGTGAGAATCGCGTGCGAACCCCCAGAGTCAGGAGGGAAAAAAACACACAGACACAATTAATCCTCGATTCCCAGGAAAATATGGGAAAATATGGGAATTGGGGGGGAAGACAAAAACCCAGAAAATATGGGAAAATATGGGGACTATTTTTATTTGTGTGTATTTATTTGTGTGTCCTAATTTCCCTTTACAGAGCCCCTCCTCCCTGCAGACTCGCACAACGGGGAGCGGATCGAGCCTGCCCATCGCCGACCTGTGAGGGAGAGCAAGACACGAATCCAGCTGCCTCCGGCGTTTGTCGAGCCAGATCCATCGGTGATGGCCCTGGGGCACGAGCCTGGGCGAGTTGTAACGCCCACATCTCGAGACCGTTGTTTAGGGTCCGGCGATCGCCCAGGTTATCAGGCCCGTCCGCCCCCCCTCCGCCCCCCATCCCAGGATCACCTGACCTCGTCGGTCGCGCAGGTCCGAATGGTGTGCGCAGCATTCGTGCGCGCGGGCATGCGTGGGGCTGCCCAGAGCGAAGAGCTTAGGCCAGACGCCGGCCCCTCCCCTCCCACCCCCCTGATGACCTGGATCATTCAGGAGGGATGAGACACAGACACAGATCGTCGATCTCCACTCGAGAATCCGGGAAAAGATGACACACGGCGAGGAAGCTGGAACTCCAAGAAATATTCAATATTTAGTACTTAATATATATACATATAAACTTTAAAAAGTGAATCGATAAAAGTCTTGGGATTCCTGTGGCTATTTCTTCGTGTCTCCCTGACCCCCTTTGAACCGTCGCCGGAAATTATGAACGACCTCCTGTGGTTTGGCCGTCGGCCTCAGTCAGCGGCTGAAGGCCAAGCGCCCGCTCTGGGGCTGCGCGTCCCCCCCCCGGGGCGGGCTGCACTTCTGTGGCCATGGCGGAAGTGCCCTCGGGCAGCCGCTGAGCGAGGCGGAGCGGAGAGCCGCGCAGCGGGGGTGCCAACACTGGACGTGCAGGTGCGACCGCCCGTCTGTCTGTCTATCCCCATCGATCCGTCGATCAATAGATCTATCTATCTATCTCTCTGTCTACCGAACATGTGTATATATATATATATGTACATTTATACATATACATATTTATATGCATATACGATATATATATACACATATATATGTGTGTGTATGCATGGATGTATGTATGTATGTATGTATGAATGTATGTATGTATGTATGTATGTATGCATATATGTATGTATGTGTGCATGCATGTATGCATGTATGTATGTATGTATGTATGTATGTATGTAATATAATATAGTGTAATGTATGTATGTATGTATGTATGCATGCATGCATGCATGCATGCATGTATGTATGTATGTCTGTCTGTATGTATGTGTGTGTATGTATGTATGTATGTATGTATGTATGTATGTATGTATGTATGTATGTATGTATGCATGCATGCATGCATGCATGTATGTATGTATGTATGTATGTATGTATGTATGTATGTATGTATGTATGTATGTATGTATGTATGTATGTATGTATGTATGTATGTATGTATGTATGTATGTATATACACATATATATATACACACACATATATATATATATATATATATATATATATATATACCCGTGCACGAGGCCCTGGGGCCCGGGACCGCGACCTCGACAGCGCATGAGGGGACTGAGGGCTTTGGGGGGCCAAAATCGGTGCCGTCATCCCCCATGGGGCCCCCCCCCGAACGTTTGGGGGGTCACAGACCCCCCGGGACTGCCCTGGGCCGCTTCCAAATTGCCCACGACAGGCCACGCGGGCCGTACAGATGGTCACGAAAGCCTGAAGAGGCCCCGAAGACGCCCAAGAGCGCCCCAAGAGGGCCCGTGAGGGCCCCAAGAGGGCCTTCAAGAGGCAAACATCTGCCCATTTCCTTCGTAAAAATGCATTTTTGGCATACTCGCTGGCTTCGTCTTCACAGTGCCCCAGACGCCCCCGCGGAGCCCCAACACAGCCCAAGAGAGACCCAAGAGGGCCCCAAACGGCCCAAAAGCGTCGGCCTGTGGGGCTCACGGAACCCCCCAAGACGGCCCAAGAGGCCCCGAAGCTGGCCCAGGAGGCGTCCAAGACGGCCTCAGGGATGCCCAAGAGGGCCCCGTTCGAAATCATGTTCCCGGAAGCCTCTCGGGGAACATGACTTCCGGGCTCCCAGGGCCCCCTACTGAGCCCCAGGACAGCCTCAGCAAGGCCCAGGAGGGCCCGAGATGGCTTGAAGATGGCCGAAGAGGGCCCCAAGAGGGCCTTCAAGAGGCAAACATCGGCCCGTTCCCATAGTAAAACGTGCATTTTCGGCATGCTCGCTGGCTTCGTCTTCACAGTGCCCCAGACGCCCCCGCGGAGCCCCAACACAGCCCAAGAGAGACCCAAGAGGGCCCCAGACGGCCCAAAAGCGTCGGCCTGTGGGGCTGACGGAACCCCCCAATACGGCCCAAGAGGCCCCGAAGCCGGCCCAGGAGGCGTCCAAGACGGCCTCAGGGAGGCCCAAGAGAGCCCCGTTCGACATCATGTTCCCGGAAGCCTCTCGGGGAACATGACTTCGGGTTCCGAGGACGCCGAAGAGCCAAGAGGGCCCGAGATGGCTTCAAGATGGCCGACGAGGGCCCCAAGAGGGCCTTCAAGAGGCAACGTACATTTTCAGCATGCTTGCTTGCTTCGTCTTCAAATTGCCCCGGACGCCCCCGAGGAGCCCCAACACAGCCCAAGAGAGACCCAAGAGGGCCCAAGACGGCCCGGCAGGGTCGGCCTGTGGGGCTCAGAGAACCCCTCAAGACGGCCCAAGAGGCCCCGAAGCGGACCCAGGAGGCCCCCAAGACGGCCTCAGGGAGGCCCAAGAGGGCCTCGTTCGACATCACGTTCCCGGAAGCCTCTCCGGGAACATGATTTCCGGATTCCCAGGACGCCCAAGAGGCCCACAAGACAGCCTCAGCAAGGCC